AGTGAACCATAGTCTAGTGCCTCTGTGGCATTTTAAACCTTTGGCTAAGAGTGAATACAGCTTTGTGGTTCCCCTGCTTCTGACATGATTTGGTGCTCCTATATATTTGTAGGTTTCTTTTTTCTTTTTTTTTTCATTAGAGCTTGTTTTGCCATAGGGCTGCTTAACACTCTTTTCAAACGGCTTTTGCAAGGTTAAAGGAATGCGGCTTGGTAACAAGTTTGTGTCATTTTAAATATATACCACCCAGTAAATAAGGAGGAGTCTTGCAATCAATCCCTTTTAGTGTGTTATATGTTTCACCTGACAACTAAACCCTATATTGATTAACCATTACTTTGTTAGATAATCTTGTGTCATTGAAGCCACTGTAAAAATTAAACTCTTTAAAATGTTTTACCCTAGCAGCAGTGTGAAAATTGAAAACTTGTTCAGAGTTACAGCCAGCTTCCACAAAGAGGGTAGTTTCCAACAAACTGGTTTATGTTTGCATGCTTTATATGCAATATAAAAGCATATTAAAGCACTCCAACGCAAAGCTATCTGCCTGTGGCGTTGAACCAGGCTACCGTTTCAGACTGCTTTTCCTTGATGAAGAAACCTCTTATTTTGATGAAAGGTGAGGACAAACTGGAACAGTTTTGGTGCAGATTAGATGAGATATGTAAAAGGGTCAAGCTTTAAAGGTGCGCTTGAGAAATTTGCTTTTCTGAAGCTTGATTCTGGCTTTGATTTTCCTGCTTTTCTACCAAAGTAGTCGATGTTCCCATGGGCATTGGAATGAATGAAAGGTGGGACTCTGATGTTGCAGTGTAGCATGAGACACCATCAAATGTTTCACATGACATGAAGGACTCTGCATTATTACTTGATGATATGTCATTAATTCTATTTTCAGAGTCCACTAGTCTGTTCCCTATTCACTAGGTCTGTTCACTAGTAACTATTAGTGTATGAACAGCAGTATGACAATATCAAGTGAAGCCAGATCTCCATGTCCAGCAGTAATTTTGTGTCTTGTTGTAGCTAGTAACCGTGGCCTACAGAGGAGCATTAGAAGACCACCACATGGTACTGCCTTCACAATATATTCTCCCAGCTTCTTATGACTTGGCTTCAAGAGCTGATATGGTTTCTTTGTAAGATTATCGTTTCCGTTGAGGCCTGTTAGGCAGAGTGACATTACCTCTGTTTCCCCTGGACTTTAAGGGAGAACTGGGCTTTCTTCTGTGTTTTTTGCTTTAAACCTTTTATAACATATCATAGAACATGCACGTGAATCTTCTTTACCCTTTTCATTCATCCCACTAGGCTAATAATGTATTCCTCTGTGATAATGTGAAAATAAGAACAGAAGAACTTTGTAACTTTGCAAAGTCAGTAATGTATGTTGAACTCAAGATCACTTTATGTTTTATTCTCAAATCTACATCCTGATGTTTTGAATCCATGATACGTACTTCTTTTGATTTTCTTTTTTCCCCACTTCTTCCATTAAGAAACAAAGAGCTGCTGAAGGACTAAATAATCATCTGGTAATTTGGCACATACATAGATCCTTACATGATAAAATTACTGTGTAAGAGTTAGTTGTCACAGTAAAACCATCTTCTTCTCTCCTGTGGTGGAAAAGGCTGGGAAGGAGGAAGTCAAGTAGCATTGGCATTAGCAGTTGTCAAATGGCAGAGAGGTATTGATAGCGTGGGAATGCCCAAGTCGCTCAGACCCAGAGTCTGCTCATCCAGTGCCAACTCCAGCACTGTCCATGGAGGGTGCTGTTGAATGAGAGCAAACAAGTCTGACCTTGTTCACTACTCCATTGCCCTCCTGCTCCTGCAGCGTCTGCTGCTGTTGCACTAACGATGACTGGGAGATATCTGCGCTGTGTGCTCCGTGGACCATACTGTGGACAGTACTCTGCTGTCCATGAGTTTGTTTAGTGCCTTTTTCCACTTGCTGATATTCTTTCCATGATGTCCTGGGGCAGCAAGCTCCAGACGTTCACTGCCTGCTGTGTGAAGAAGTGCTTAATTTTATCTGCTTTGAATTTATACTATATTAGTTCCATCCAATGTCACTAGTCTTGGTATTGTGGAATTTGATGACCAAGCTTTGCTGGAAGTTCAGTTGGTGCTGTTCTCACTGACATGTAATGTGTGAATGAAAGTAATAAAAATTAAGCAATACACTGGAATAATTGTAGATGCATTCTGACATGCATGTAACTTTTGAATAGTGTATAGTGAGCTTCCTTCCTTCATAGAGGGTGCTAGTGTCTTTAGATTTAGCATTTTATATTTCACATTGTGTATTTGGGTTGTCTGCTCTGTCCCATTTGTAAACGTGAGAGAAAGCCTGTCATTTTAAAAAGCTGGCTTGCTACCAAGGTTGGTATCTGTCTTGGGAGGAAAAAGACTGACAAGATCCGAGTTCATGGTTCAGTTCACGGAGTCACAGTCTTCCTTGTTGCTTTCATGAAATGTTTTTGTGGCTGAGCTTTTGATGTGCAAAGTGGAGTTAGTAATAGCTTTTTTCAAGTCAAGGCTCCTCAAAATGTATACAGTATGTAGCAGATAAGTTGTGTGGAAATCCTGTGACTGGAATTTTAGGAATTAAATAGCAAACGAAAGCACAGATTTATGATAAATGGGTTAAATTATACAAGTGTATATACTGAACAAAGAATCTTGACAACTCCTCATGGTTTTTCACTTTCACAATCTGGTTGAATTTAACTAACACCATGCCTGTAAAATGAAGTTTGCATGGTATTGTCTGAACATCAGTGCAAAGTAGATGGTGTCAACTTTTTGTCTGTCTGTTGGACTGCTACATCAAAGCCCCAGTTTTTCATAGTTTATGCCATTCTGATCTTCTGATGAGAAAGTTCTGTGCATACCAGAGTGATGGTTTTATGATATTGGCAAATATTTGCAAGGTGAGTCCATCAGACTTCTGTTTGCTTGTGGTCTAATCCATTTTGAATCTGAACCTCCCCTGCTGAAAGATGCACTCTGATCATGTGCACAGTACCTTGAAAGGATTTGTGTGTTTGAATTTTTCAGTTTCTCCTTCTGGATCCAGAGTGACAGCAGGTACCAGTGTTGAGACATGTAAGGAGATCTGCTGGAGCCAGGATATTCTGCATTCCTGTCTGTCACTGGTGGTTTTCTGGTTAGAGAGCTCACTGAGAAATAAAACAAACTGCTAAAGCAATGGAGAAGATAGGGCTTCTGTGCTCCTTTTCATTTCTATTTCATTGTGAACTTTAAAGGGGCTCTCTAAATGGGTAAGGTGGAAAGGACTGTGATTTCCTGGATTTCTTCAAGAGTGTCTGTACTGTTGGACCAGTACAGATTCACCTGAGCCACTGTGCTGATTTCCCATGGTGGGAGTAAGGAGTGTTTCATGAGAGTCATAAATGAATGTTGTAAGCTGATTTGTGAACACTCAGTTCCCATCAGTTGGTGCTTGCTGTCCTCCTGAGCTGGAGACTATTGGGAACAGTGACTTCATGGACATATCTCCTACCACTCAGCATAACCCATTTTAATCTCTGCATTCTTGCCTCTGGTGTCCTTTGCCATGTGTTTCTCTGCTGGTTTTTGTGTTGCTGCTACATCTTGCACAGGATCAGGCCTCTGGCAGAGGGGCAAAAGGGGAAGGTTGTTTGTTGGACCTTGGTGCTGAGGGAATCTGGCTTTGGTGCCATAGCTTTGGAGCAGAGGGAGAGGTTTAGGAGCCCTTGGCAAGCCAGTGTTGTCCAGAGGTTTTGTAACCTATAGTGGGTTTGGGGATGAATTAGTTTCAAATCCAACAAGCCCTGAAAGAAAGATCTTCAGAGATTGACAGTGAGTATTACAGCGAGAGAACTGACAGGCAGTTTAGTACAAGTCTTTGTATGTCCTCCTCTTAAGGCAGTCTTTAAAATATCATGAATGTTAGTATGATAGTACTTAGTATGTTAGTACTTAGAGCTCTTGGAAATCTCTTTGTGGCAAGTTTAATTTCATTGTCTTTCAGCATGTTTCTTGGGTTTTCCTCATGCAGCTATTTGAGGTAGCAACATCTTCTATGTAGTCCACTTACTACTCTTGCAGCAAAGCAAGTTTGTGCTTGCTTTTGAGCTGCCACTTTTGCATGGAACATATTTCTGTGAATGGTGTCAGGTGCTGGAGTGTTAATCCCATGCTGAAGCTCTTAGGTGCTACTATACTCCTCCTACTAGAAAACATGAACTTAATCAAGTAGTAATTGAAAAGGTGTTGAAGAGAGAACCTCTATTAGAAATTCCTGGGTTCTTCAGGCATATTAGTTAAAACTGCCGAAGCAACCAAAGTACAATTTTAAGACCACTTTGTAAGTGTTGTTCGTATGCTTCCCTTAGAAAAAGGGGGAGACTCTGAGTAATGTGTTCTGCAGACTTTCAGAAGTCTGCAGCCCCAGCTGAGTGTCCCCTGGGCAGGAGAGTGTATGAGTTAAAGAAAAAAAGACATTCTACTTTAAAAATAGATAAAAGCTTTCCAGACTTGGGAAGATTAAGTACAAGAAATGAGATGTAGTCTGCATTTGCTCCCTTCTGATTATAACCTTCGTATTGTCCCCATGTATTTTACCTGGTAAAGTCAGGCAATGTGTACTAACATTTGACATATGCTGTGATAACTAGTGTGTAGAAATCACCGTGCTTTAGTTGTTCAATTATCCAGCATTTTGTGGAAGCATGAGTAACTTAGATACCTTTTTCATTTTCCAAAAGAACAGAGGAGAAAAATCCTTTTCTTTGTATTTCAGAACTATAAAATTGTATGTATCTTCTCAGGAGACATGCATGCCCTGAACATAGGCTTTTGCTGTAAACTAGTTTATTTTGGTTTGAAACATTTACACCTTAGGAAACAGAAAATGTAGTAGAGGAGTTGTGGGTTCCTGTGCCAAAAATGTGGTGCCTGAAAGAAAATTGTTTTCTTCTATTCATAACCGTTTTAATCTTTCTGCAGACCTACAACAGCTGTGCCAGACTGTGCTTAAACCAGGAAACAGTATGTCTAGGAAGCACTGCTATGAAGACTGAAAATTGTGTGGCCAAAGTAAGTAAGAGAACAGCTTTGGTTTTGAGGGTGTTTTAGCAGGTTGTTCATTGTTAGTCACAGAAAAGTTCTTGTTAAAAGTTACACTTAGAAAAATAATACTTACACAGAAAGCAAGTATTTTGCAAAGGCTCTTCTGTCCTTCAGTATAAACATTTCAGACTTGCTGTTTTTCTCTGCTGGAAATGATTACTTGAGTCCTGGGCTATCTGGGATTGAGGGGTCCATTCTGCTATACAAGTGATAGGCTTTTCCAGTGGGATGACCTATGCCTGCCATGTAATTAGCTGTGGCAACTTCAAATGATAAATGTCCAGATACGTGCTAAAAACACTGCATGAGAGCTCTTTGTGTCATGGTTCCCTTTCTTAGCTGCCAGAAGGTAGGTACAGAAAGAAAGACCTTTCAATTAAAATATAGTGAATGCTGTATTTAAAGGAAAAGGAGGAGGGACATATCACAGTCAGAATGGTAAGAAAATGCATTTATTAGCCCGTTAAAGAAAAGTAATTTCTTGAGAATTGAGTAGATGTGATTGGAAGGATGAGGTGCCATTAGCCACCTACTTTTCTTAAAATTCAGTGTAACCAGAGTAAAACAAGTTTCATGTAGGGCTGCTTGTGAATGGAGAGCATTTGAACCGTGATGCAATATGTGTAGAAAGGCTGTGCAAAGTGTGCGTTTAGCCTTGTGCAAGCTTTCTGTTTCTGAAAGGAAGTTTAGAATGGGCATGCAGGACAGATCAGTGCTTGCAGCCATCTGTTACCAAAACCAGCTGGCATTTTGTTGCTCCTCTGTCACCACAAGCCTGACCACTCAAAAGCCTGTTTTCTCTTTTGGTTATTTATTCTTTGATCTTCTCGAAGTCTATTTTTTTCATACTTTGAATGGTTGTTAAAGGTGCCTTATCTCTTCGGGGGCCACTTTTGTATTGATCTTTAAGATAATTCCCCAGCTAAATCTTTGCGGAGATTTTGCTGGTGAAATTTGGATGTCCCATTACTTGTAATTCTTGTCAGGGAATTTGCTATCATAAAAGTTTTTCAAGGTGCTTGCAGGTGGCTTAATGCTCATAAACTGTGCCTGACGTGCCAGTTAGCTTCCACTGGAGAAGCACTTCTGAGAGAATCTACCAGTCTTGGTACAAAGTGCTGATATTTAATACCATAGCACTTCCATTCTTAACATGACTACTATCTCACACTGCTTCCTAAGGTACTTTATGATACAGAGTAGGTGGAACTGTTTAAGCAGAGCAGCTCTGACTGAGTTGTCTCACTGTACAGCATCGTTCTGATGCCATAAAGCAGCTCACAGCAAGCTAACTGGAGTAAACCCCTTAAACCCCATCTGCTCTATAGCATCTTGTTTGATCTAATCACCTTACTAAGGAGCAAGGATGTGTAAGAAGTACAGCTAAATTAGGTGGTCCCTCTTTGAAATGAAATTACATACTTTAACGTCTTAATGCCCTAAATAATAAACTCTCCTAAAGTGACATTGTCAGTGGGTTTATGGTAAGAGGTGTGGGTAGGGCTCAAGGCAGAAGCAGCAAGACTTATTTATGCTATTGAGAATGAATTTGAACCATTGCCCTGGAGATGAAAAAGTGTATGTTCTTAAGTATAATGCCTCTGTGTGCTAGGCTTTAGGAAAATCTGCCATCACGTACACACATACATATGAAAAAATATGTATACACATGCATACATGCCTTTACACAGACATATGTATATGTATGAAAAAACATAAGGACTTTTCTGGGGTTATAGTTCCTCTAGTCCCAACTTGCCTGGCTATTGTACTCCTTTCCTTTGCCTTCCTAGCTACAAACCACATGAAATAGGTTCTAAGAAAGCTTGTCTTTCAAATTCCAGAAGGGTTCAAGCATTTATAAATCCAGTTATCTAAATGCAGATGGCTCAGTGATGGCATAGGCAAATGGCACAACTGTTAAATGTTCCCTAGGTGAAGGGCTTAAATGGGATTTAGGGAGTTCAGAGGCCTTCTCCTAGCCACATGCACATGGTGAGTTTTATCCTCCATGACTGATGTGTTTTACAGCCTCAGACTTTAAAATACTTTGTCAGAAGGTAGATACTGGAAAATACAACTGCAGATTTTGTTATCTGTAGCACTTTCCCAAATGTATTGTAAAAGTTTCAGGTTTTTTATCTTAAACTTGCAGTGAAACACAAAAAAGATTACTTTGGAAATCATGATTTGCCTTTTCTGATTCTGCAGTGCAGTATCAGCCCTGTCTTGGAGCCACAGTTGGCATTATTGTGTGCTTGTCAGATGTGTCAGTTAGTCTGCAAGAGATGATGATTTTTCTGAAAACAAAATTTCTGATTCTGCATCTGCTTGCAGAAATTTGTGCTTTGTTAAGTCTGTATTAATGGCATTTACTGATTGTGTGCTTGATGTTTCTAGAAGTTTGTTCAAAGAATGAAATGCAGTTTCCCTTGAGGCCACACACATCAATATTGAGGTATCTTTTCTCAGACTGAAGCTCTGTCTATCCATCAAGCTCTTTTGTGAACAAGTGCCTCTGTACAAGACATCCAGATGTAAGCTGCCAACCTGACAACTGGTACTCTTCCTAAAATGGAGGGAGAAAAAGTTTGCAACAAACAGATGCACATATTCCAGTGTGGAAGGTAGCATAGGGCCATGGTCAGACAACTCAAGAAAGTCTGTGTTTGTTAGGCAACTGTGTCTGTCTGGTTCTGTATATGATGTCGTGCTGCACGTGCAGCCAGATGCTCAGTGGCTCTTGCAAACCTGTGAATTACCTAGTTTTATTCAGACATTTTAATATAAAACTAGAATATCAGGTTCTGATAAATCTCTGTATGTTGTTCTTAGTCCTGCTGTTCTGGTATCTGTCCTCTTAAATTCCATTTATAGAACTTGGACGTGTTTCGGTAGGTGCAAATAAGGAACAGTAGAAATTGTTTCAAGCGTGTGCATGCTTTGACTGAAGTGGTGGGATCTTCAATTAAAAATTATGTGTTGTGATGCACAGATACCACCTCTCTAATCTGTAACAGCATTTCTCTCCTATCTGCAGGAGTTTTTCAGTTATTCTTTTGCCATGTTTTAGCCCATTGCCTTGGAGTGAGCAACAAGTCTGATGTATATTCAACCTAATGTCTTTAAAAAGGACATGCAATCTCTAATTGTGTTTTTTTTAATGTATGCATATACACAGAGAGGCATGTATATAAACCCCCCTCCTGTTTGTCTCTTTAGAAACCAAAAAATGTCTGCAAGAGGATTTCTTTTTATGATGCTGCTGGTGTGCAACCACAAGTGGGCAACTTTCTCAGGAATTGGTGTTAGGTGCTTAAATAAGGTAGAAATGTAGCATGAACCTGAGCTCCAAGGACAGGATGTTTGATTTTAATGAGGCTTATTGAAATCTGGCCAAATGAGCATCTGTTCCTATTGTTTGTTCCATATTTTGTAAGCCAGTATCTCCAGGCCAGATAATGGTGCTGGTGTGTGCTTCATCCTCAATTAGAGAGGGACACAGTTAAAAGTCCCCTGGCATCTGGTATGTCGCTAGGATTCTTGTGACACTCTTGTGTGTGCAAACAAGTTTCTCTTCTGTTCTGTACCCAGGACCACCTCCTGTACTGACCTTCACACTTTCTATTTGATGTGTGGTGTGGTATGCTCTGGTGTGTCTGCAGTCTCTTTTGCTGAATCTTTGCTTGGATGGATTAAATAAAGTGCTGTTTTCAAACAGAGGACTACCTTTTCACCCTTTCACAGTGTGGGCTGTGTTGGGTTTGAGTTTTGCTGTTTGCTTGGAGTCTGTTAGATTTTGCATTTCCCTGGATCATGGAAACACCCTTTGATTCCAAGTGCTCTTTTCTTTCCCAGCAAGAGACTGGTGTACAACTGCTCTCAGCATTCCACAGTCAATACCTGTTTGCAGCACCCATTAGATAGGTCTTTACTGTTTATTAACTCCTGCAGTCAGTTCCGATTCGTCTGTATCTGCTATACAAAGGAGTGTTCTCAGTTTCATTTTGCACATTGAATTCTTTCCTACTTGTGCCAGAGATAGGCGCCCTATGCCATACCTGGCAGACAGCACAGACACACCTTCAAAATGACATACTGCATCCACAGGTTTCTACTTAGAACTCAGCAGCAGCTGGGAGAGGTTTTCTGCCTCTAAGTTGAAGGAAGAAAAAGACAGTCATGCACACCACCCTTGAAAAATTAGTCTTCTGTTTGAGGCCACTCCTTGCTACTCAGATGTGATAACTGGTCCTGCTTTTAAAGGTCCTGGCACACCAAGGGACTTCTCAGGGTCTTTTAAGCATCTTGTGTCTTTTAGGGAATTTTTGATTACTGTTCATCATACTTTTAAATGTGCAGTGGTTAATACATTGAACTGGGAAGGGGTTTATTCCCTTTATTTTCAGCACTGTGATTTATTCTCTGTGGCCATGATTTATTCTCTGTGGCCATTCTTGCTTCTTTTCAAAAGGAGAACCAAATAATGTTGTGAAAAGTAACTGTATAATACTTTTTTGACCCTTGGATGAAAAGTCCTGCTTAAGCATGTAGTGATGTTCTCTGCCTGCTGAGCAAGCTGTGTGGAGTGTACAGGGGGACAGAGCTTCGTTCTACTCAAGTCTGGAAACACAGAACAGGCCTTGGCACTTCCAATATGCTATGTGAAATTTCCTTTCAAAGATGCATCTTATTATTTAGTTATAGATACACATTTTGCATTCAAGGATGATTCAGCTAAAGCAAGGAGTGGTGCAAGTAGTTGTTAATTGAAATCTTCCTTCCTTTGTTGCTTCTTTCTGCATCACTACTTCTGAATTTTTAGAACATAGTCTGCACAATAATGACATCGAGCCCAGAATTTTTATATGAATTCAGAACAGAAACCATGAGTACTCTTTAATAAAGAAGCATTTAGGGTTCCAGGCTGGATGTTCCAGTTGGCACTAGGACAAATGAATCTGAAG